ACGAGGAAGTTGTAGTACACTGAGAAAAAAGATTGGTAGAATTCACCATTGCTTCGCGCTGTATTTCACCCAGCGTGAATTCAACTTCGATTCTGCCAGAGGAATGGCTACCTGTACCAATATATGAGGACTTATATGTAACAATGGCATACGTAAAAAATTACCTTTCCGAAACAGGCGTAAAAAACTGTTTTGGTCACACAATAATCTAATATGTTCGGCTCTGACATAATGTGCAGATCTTGAGGATCACATCTCAAGTATTTTCTCAAAATTTTCTCAATGCCAAAACAGTTCTTTGAACTTGTTTCGGAAAGGTAATTTTTCACATCCGCCATTGTTACATATAAGGCCTAATATGGTGACGTTTACCTTTCTTCTGGCAGAGTTGACTCTGAATTGACGCTGTGTGAAATACAGCGTCAGGGAATGGTAAATTCTACCAATATTTTTTTCATTGTAGTAGTAAATAGGATTTATCCGGCTCCAACATGGAAAAAAATAGAATTCCTGATTGAACAATTTTGTAGTTAAAAAACTTGTCCGACATTTCTCAATGCAGATTTTGCTATAAAAAAATGCTCGAAAAATCCGAAATTTAGCATTACGTATTTTAAGAACTCGTTATTCGATTAAAAGAGAGAGGCTAAGAGGTTGTTTTGAGGGTACCTTACGATAGGAGGGGGAAGTAGGTCCGCGCCGTATAGGTAACGGATCCACAAAAGCGAAGTGGGTCCATTACACAAAAAATTGTTTTCAATCTCTTCTTTAGCGCATAAAGGTAGCGTTCTGCATACTGATTATTTTCACATTTACCACTGTGAAAATTACATTGCTTGGATAGCCAGTGTAGAAGGATTATTTTCTTGCTAATATGCAATACTGGACAAGTAGAATACGATTTTATCATGCCTGCGACCGGTCTCTTCTGGACTAGTGAAACTTGTGCCCTTAGTAAAAAGAGGAAAGAAGGGAAAATGCAAGAGTGAACGCATGATGTAACGCTGAAGGCATTGGATGACAAGAAAACCTTCATCTATGGAGCTTTATTACACACATGCCTTCATGTTGCAAAGCGTAGTAGCGCAAAAACACATTTGCACCACAACTCTCGAAATAAATTAATCGCGATATGAGGAACTTTGTTAAAAAAAACTTTTTAGATTCATCCATCAGAAATGAAGTAAGCCCCTCTTTCCTGAATAGAGAAGAAGATAAAAGCTCAATTCAGCTAGATACGCGCACGTTTGATGAATTGGACGTATTTATGTTGAAAGGACCTATGTTACATGCAAACCCTATGAACATGGTTCCTTTCAGCATAAATACGTCTATATATCCCGCGACGCAATAATTCAGCTATGGAAGGTGATTACTTAAAGTGCTGGTCTCGTAAAGATTCGATTCAATGCGTGTTTACATACGAATGCAGCTTGGTCTAATGCACACTGTCCACAACTAATGGAGTGAGAATGGCACTTTGATTAGAAAGAGGGAACATGAAAGAGGCTCGATCGAGAAAAGGCCTTGAATTAGCTGGGTTTGCAGTAGTTATTTGGTGCGGTTTTAACAGTCAAAGAATCACTCGGTGGATAGGCATTTCCCAGATGATGTTCCTGCAACTGCACTGCCGTGCTAAGGAAGAACGCTGTATGAGCCTTCAGATGTTGCCATATTTCCTTCAATAAAAACATAATTTGCGAGGAAAATCATGAATAATTTTTTTTTAATTTTTTCAGAAAATTTTGTTCCAAATGTTATCTAAAACGTCTGAAAATTTAAAGTAAAAACACATATGGTTCTCATAAAAAACTCATGTTTTATCCGCGGAAATGTGTCAACTCTCGAATGTTCATACGGCGTTCTTCCTTTGTGCGGCAGTGTAATCGAAGGATCTCTTGAGGATATTCTTTGATTAGTGCATCGGAAACGAGAACTCGATTGTTTGGTAATAACTAGCCAAAAGTTCACTGAAAAAAAAGAACGGGGAGGGGTCGTGCACCCGCACCCCCTCCCCCCGAATCGGCCTATGGATTTATTCTGATTTATCTTTTCGAAAGGTTTTAAGCAAACGCTTGAAAAACAATTCAATAGTTAGAAAGCTTTTAAGAACTTTTTGAGGAACGCGACTTTTTTTGAAAAATGATCAAATTGCGCCTCTTGAATTTTGGTAAAGAGCACATCGGTGTGTTGTGTTCGAATGTAACATTATATCTCAATTAAAAGGGAGATAAGGGTGCCGATGTTAATTCAAGTTTGTTTGATCATCGGTCAATTATTGAGCGAGGTTCATTATTAGAGTAAATAAATTCAATTCGAAGTTTGAGGCAATGATTTTGATCAAGCAGAGTAAACAGATAAGCCGTTCAATATTACATAAGCCATTTTGGCCGACTTTTTGACCATACCTCTCCCCCTTATCCTTTTGAATTTCGTAGGCCTAGCTTCAACCCCTCCTCAAAAAAAAAATAAATAAATAAAAACATAAAAAAAAGATAACGCAAATTACCTGAACAATCGCTGGAAAAATCGTTTTTATTTGAAAAAATCTGTACAATATTTTTTAAAAGTGGGTGGCTCAAGTGAGTCTGGGTCTACCTTCTCCACCTCCCACATAAAACTGATTAATCAAAGCTTAGACACCCCCCCCCCCCCAGTTGCTTTCGTAGTACTTGAATGGTCCCAATGTTTAGTGACGTTAATTTGCGGTTTGGTTCCCAAACTTTCTGCTCCATGGAGCTGAGTTTAGTGAACTGCGAGAATTTTTTTCTGTGTGAGTTAAGGAGGATCAGCAAAATATCCAAAATCGTCCTCGTCAAAAAACATGAAATACTCTTCAGGAATATTTTTGTGCAGCTTGATGGATTGTTGCTACAAATCAACGCACCTTTGAACAATTGATTATATCCATTCATATAGGTTCGACGTAATCTACTTCCTTGGAAAAGGACTCGTGACAGGAGCTGAAAGTTATGTACCTGTTTTTCTTTATTTACTAGCTAATACATATTCATTACCTCACAAACTAATGCGATTGATTAAGAATGTAGATCAGGCAAAGGATGTCGCCTTCCTTAATAAATTTACGTTAATTTTATTGCTCGTAGTTAGATAATACTGTCGATAATATGTGGTCGAACTGACCACATTGTGCACAAATGCGCTCGACAATCACAGACCTGCATTTTACTGCCAAGAGTATCTCCTAATTTGGTCTTCGAATATATAATTTAACAGGTAGATAATTATAGCATTGCCAATACGGAGATAGCAAGTTTGACAAACTATAATTATGACTCGTTATCATTTTTATTTCATTTAAAAGTTGAACGCCGTTTAATGATCGCTATCAATTTTAAATATAATTGATAATCAGAGAAAACTATTAACTTTTACTTAATTAAATAGTTTCAATGAATCACTTTTCTGAATCGGAGGTTGTTTCTATCGTTCAGTGGTTGTTCCCCTGTGCGTCGAATGAGCGACGATTCAAATGAGGGATTTTGAAAAGAAACTGCCTGACTTTAGCTGTTAGCAAATTTCACAACAATTAGACGATTCTTTATTGCTTACAAGAGAACGGTTGTACCGAAGCGTCCGAATTTTTTTAAGAGACAAGCAAATTTCTCGGATTTTTCGAACAAATTGACTCAAATGTTTGTCAGTGAAAAAAATGACTCGTCCAATGAAATTCGGCGATTGCTAATGAAACTTGGTTATGTTTCGAGAAATGCTGGCCACTTGTGCGATGGTATTTGTAACTGGGGACCTGCAGCTAGAGGTCATTTAATTGATTCTTGGTAGCGCAATGAAAGAGACCATGATAGATTTAAAAAGCATTTGAAAAAGTCATTTTTACGACAAACTCACACATGATTATTACACTGAAAACAATGTATTTATCGAGATAAAACGCCTGGAAAAACATCTCCCGTCGTTAACTTTCAAACGTACGACACTTATGATCAAACTATCACTAGATCATTAGACGATATATGAAGATAAAAGCCTAGTAATTAGCTTCTTCGAGTGTTGGAATCGTGTGCAATTCGAGGAGTTTTGTGGTTTTTACGGATGGAAAACTTCTTCAATAGAATGAAAACCCTTTGATAAAATGACGAGACCTTCAGTTCCTTTATGACTCTTAGCATGAACTGAAATGATTTATTTTGAATGTTTTACGTAAACTTTTTCTCCGAATATATGTATCTTTATGAATCCACCATAGATAACATACGGGATAAACGATTATTTCATAAAAAAGTAAAGAAAGCGTAAAAAGAATCGCATGCATAAAAAAGAGACGGTTTTTCGAAAATAGAAGATAATAACTATACTGCCGTGCTAAGGAAAAATGCCATGTGAGCATTCGAAGGTTGCCAAATTTCCTTTGATGAATATTCAATGAATATATAGATTTACTTGGAGACCTATGAACATTTTCCCTCCAATTTTTCAAATGATTTTATTGGCAATCAGATCTCAATTAGGTATTGGAAAAATTCAAGAGAAAATGTTCCTAATCCTGTTCAAGACTAAAATTTTATCGGAGGAAATTTGGCAACTCCCGAATGTTCATACGGGGTTTTTATTTAGGACGGCAGAATAGATGAACACATGTGGTGGTGCAAGCGATTTTTCTCCAAGGTGTGGCGTTCTCAAAACTTATCTCGAAAATCGAGGTTGTTGATAAACAAAGTTTTCACGATGCAGGATTCGGATTTACATAATTCTAGCACCTTTCGCGGGTAAGAGAGGAACGCCCTAGGATTTCAGTGGATGTTCTTTTTTTTTTTTTTTTTTTTTTTTTTTTTTTTAATCCCCGCATTCATATTAGTGCCAATGAAAAAACAAACTTTAAGGAGTCTCTTCACCCCTCCGTTTAGAGGAGAAATCCAAGGCATGAAATCAAATATAGGAACTCAATATTTCACACAATTTCGATTCGGTATTATTCTTCACGGAAAAATAAAAAAATAAGGGAGAAATATCGCACATACCTGAATGATTGGCTTTAGCTACAGGTTGTGAAGACACAGATTGCTCCATTTTGCGGACGAAACGATACGAAGCGTTAAACCCGGTCCCGTCGAGTCGATCGTTGGATCTGAAGGTTATTCTAAAAAATTTCCTATCTGATTTAATTTCGAACGCCTCTTTCTGGCCGCAATACCGCTCGTATCGGCGGTCTCTGGCCATGAAATTGGAAAATTCTACGTAATCACTAGCTGATATCGCCTCGCAACTGAAATCAAAACACAATTCAATAGTTTTATTAAATGAAATGATGTAGAGATTGACTTAAGGTGATTCGATAGACGCCATATTTTGTGTCAGAACGGCATGCGATATATCGCATCAATGGAGAATTTTCAAGGGTCTGAAATTTGATGAATTTCCTGTTTAAGTGGAATCCTCTGAGTGAACTGAACACGAAGATACCCTTGATTCATAAATTGAGCAATTATTAGAGGAGATATGACAAAATAACCTGATCTTCTAAAATACATGTGTTTAAATGAGAAATGCCGCCAGATGACGTCACAAGGCGGCCATTTTCTCACTTTTAAATCAATTTTTCTCCAATTTCCCATGTCAGAAAAAAATTATGAAAAATATTGCGAACTCAGCTCATTAGGCACTTTCAGATGAAGCAATAAAAAAATTGCGTGCAAATTCTCCATTGGTTCCATTTTTTCAGCTACTCGTCATTTTTCTCCAATTTTGAGATCGCAATTCTGTTGTCAGGATACTAGAGTACTCACTTACCAATTTTAACAAAGAAATTCAACGTAATAAAGGCGTGGTTAATTTAGAGAGAAAATATCGCATTCGAGTGCAATTTCGATATCAGTATCGAATGCGATGTTTTCTCTCTGAAAAAACCACGCCTTTTATTTCGTTGAATTTCTTTGTTGAAATTGGTAAGTGAGTGCTTTAGTCTCCTGACAACAGAATTGCGATCTAAAATTTGGAGAAAAATGATGAGTAGCTGAAAAAATGGAACCAATAGATGCGATATATCGCATGCCGCTCTGACACGAAATATGGCGTCCATCGAATCACCTTAAACAGAAAAATTCAAAAGATCTCTAGATGAAGTCAGCGAGGGGTGCTCAGTGCTCCAATGACGTCATTAGTGGATTTCCTGATTGGGATCAGCCGAAAATGCTCAAAGAAGTTTCAAAGGCATCAAGAGGTCAACGCCGTCAGGGGAGGGAAAGAAAGTAGCTGGTAGATAGAAAAGTAAGAATATGTCCTGATGAGCAACTCATATTTTCGAGTACAAAAATTAAGGAGTTAGGAAACGGCCAAGTCCGGATTTGGTCATTTTTCCGGCGAATGAATTTTCCGAAACTACATGTAATGTATGGCATGTGTACAAAATTTCCATTTTTTTTTTTTTAAAAAAAAAGTTCATTTATGTATTTTTTGCTACCCCAAACTTGTATTTTATTCAGTGTTTTGTTTTTGAACCTTATAACATTGTTAAATACATTGTCTGTCCAAAAAGTCAATTACTGGAAGGAGGGAATCAGTCACAAGTGTTTTAAAATGCAGAAACATGACCAAATTAGACCTTCAATATTTCTAATGTTTCTCGATTCCAATCATGCCCAATGACATTTCTGTTGCACAAACTCATACTTTAGGGTTTAAGTCAACTAATGTTACCGCAAGCAAACCTTTAGTATGACCCACATGCATTTTACACACAACTAACAGCTTGTTTCTCATTGCATCGTATCTCGTACTTGGCCGTTTTTCCACTTAACCCCTAAGTAACAATCATGATAAGGAAAAATTTTGGTTCTAAAACTGAAGGAGTACCAAGAATTAATAGGGATTGATTGGGTTCTTTCTCTGAGGAGATGAAGTGTACGTTTAGTGAAAGGGTGGCGACAGGAGGTCTTAGAAGAAATGAGGGGAGTGCCGACTCCCTGAAGGGCTCTGTGAGGATAAGGGACTTTGGCGGCTGAAGAGCGTCATAAAAGCGACTTTTATGTATGTACGAGGGGCGTTCAATAAGTAAGTATCCCCCCTCTCTAAAATCCATAAGAATGGACCAATCTTAAAAAAACTTGGGCTCAAAATCTTCCTTAGGATATTTTGAGTTCAACGAAACAAACCGCAACAAAATCGGACCATGTGCGGCCGAACGCGAGCCGTTTGAACGCGCCGAGGTGCTCGACGCTCCCGCCAAATCCGCGAGGATTTGAAGTCCGCTACAGGAGAAGAGCTTCTCTGCCAAAGCCTTAGTCGTTCATCACTGACGAAAAATCAAAGAAATTTTTGTAGAATTCGGGGCTTACCTCACTTCTCCACATAACCAGCTCGATCCAAGCAAGTCTGATACTGAGACTAAGACTAAGAGAACAGCTTTTGGATGCCTCGTGCGTGGAAGTCTTTCAGCTGACCGCGGATGAAAGAGTGGACGGCTTGTTTGACCTCTTCCACTGATTCAAAATTAACTCCTCCGAGTTCAGATTTCAGATATGATAATAAATACCACCATTTATTCCCGTTCCTGAAATCTGAACTTGGAGGAGTTAATTTTGAATCAGTGGAAGAGGTCAAACAAGCCGTCCACTCTTTCATCCGCGGTCAGCTGAAAGACTTCCACGCACGAGGCATCCAAAAGCTGTTCTCTTAGTCTTAGTCTCAGTATCAGACTTGCTTGGATCGAGCTGGTTTTGTGGAGAAGTGAGGTAAGCCCCTTATTCTACAAAAATTTCTTTGATTTTTCGTCAGTGATGAACGACTAAGGCTTTGGCAGAGAAGCTCTTCTCCTGTAGCGGACTTCAAATCCTCGCGGATTTGGCGGGAGCGTCGAGCACCTCGGCGCGTTCAAACGGCTCGCGTTCGGCCGCACATGGTCCGATTTTGTTGCGGTTTGTTTCGTTGAACTCAAAATATCCTAAGGAAGATTTTGAGCCCAAGTTTTTTTAAGATTGGTCCATTCTTATGGATTTTAGAGAGGGGGGATACTTACTTATTGAACGCCCCTCGTATAATAGCACATTTCCATCGATTAATGAAAAACTAATGAAAAATTTGATTCTCAAATTGATCGTCACTGACCAAAGATTTTGTGCTTGCCAAAGTTGAATATTTCCTGAATTTCAATCCAAATTTTGCAAAGAATTAAAATAACTGCAAAATTGAAAACAATCACCACAACTGGCAACTATGTGTTTTGCCAAATATTTCACATGAAAGAGGGAACACGGAGTTTCGAGCGCTCTCTGATAATGTCGACTGTTTTAAATCAAATTCAGAATTTCGGGGTCCGAGGTATTGGAAATGCGAACCCGTTAAATTATGCAGGTTACAAACGTAGGCTGCGGAATAAAGACCGATTCGTTTAAATCCGTTGGATCTTCATTTTTGTTGCTCGCTCGGTCAAAAAGTAAAGCGGTGTTTATTAATAAATAAACCTCACCATTCGATGATCTGATCGGCTTTTTGGGCGAATAAAAGTTTCCAAACCTGTATTGTTAGCGAGAATGCTGTTCATAAAATACCCATGCATACATGCGTGCCATGGACGTATTTTGTGAAAATGAAGGGCTGCAGTTGAAGCAAATAGGGTGAGAAAAAAGGCAGGGTGAGCTGAGCCAGATCCTATGATTTATCATCGAATTGGTAAAAATTCGGAAATGATAAAAATGATGGGAAAAAATTGAGGTGGTACATTTTTTCCCCCCTTAAAAAATATCGATGACCACAGTGCGAGACCGCGTACGTCCGATTTAGATGTTATAGACTTCCTGCCATACATTAATTTTTCATTGGGAAATTAGTCACTATATTTTTTTGAGAACTTCCTTAATTTTTCGTTTCAATTTAGAAAAGATTCTGCATAAATTTCAACCTGTAGAGTTGGTTTGTTTTGCTTGGAAAAAAGTAAAATTGGAGCGGACATTTTGAAACACCGCAATGGAGATACGTGGTTTGGCACTTTGGCCATCGATATTAATATTTGCAGTTCCTCGTTTCGTTGTTGACTGTTCTTACAAATAACACAATTACAAGGTAAGAGTTTTAGTGTGGATGATTAGGAAAATTAGAAAATTACGAGGGCAAGATAAATACGGAAAAACCTCAAAAGAAATAAAAAAACTATAGGTTACTATGAAGGAAATACTTACGGAGGTACGCCTTCTACGTCAAAATGATGAAATTTAATGTGTATGGTATCATCATTTATTCCCTGGAAGAAATAATGACACTCTGTATCGCGCGGGTAGTATCCAGGAAAATTTGGACTGTACAGAACTCCAGAACGTTGCATTGTGCCGTTGAACGTGAAGGCGCAAGGTAGGTTTGCAATTTGTTCCCCGCTATGAATACCATAATCTGTTGAGGTAGAAATGAAATAGGAATTAGAAATTAACGATTGAAATTTATGGCGAATTGGAAAACCAATCATAGCTAAGCTGCCGTGCCAAGGAAAAACGCCGTATGAACCTCCAGGCGTTGTCAAATTTATATTTTTTAACACGAATTTCCTGGTGAACTTATGAATATCTTCCAATTTTTCAACAATAGCTTTTTGACATACCACCTAGAAAATCTTTAACTAGGATAAGAAAGGAGGAAAAAATTAGAATCAAAAAATAACTTGTCATAGGATCCCGATGCACCTAAGGGATTTTTAAACCAAAGAATGGGGGGAAATTGAATGTTGACGGTGAAACCAACTTACCACGTATCTCGATTTACGACGGTGTAGACTTCCTGTCATATTTTATTTTTTAAATGAAAAACCACTCAACGTCAGTTTTTTAAAATCTTCGTGATTTTTCCTTTTCGTGCAGAGAAAACTCTGTGGAAATTTCAAGGAATGATATTGATCTGGTCTTCTTCAAAAAAATAAAATGTGAGCGAAGATTTTTAAACACAGCAAACGAAATACGTGGTCTGGTAGTTGCATCTGGGATGTGTATTCAAGCAAATGTAACGCTATGAATACGTTTATGAAAAGTTTAAAGATTAGAATGTGTTTGTTCAACGGTTAATACCGAAACATTCTCTTCACTTTGTATTTACTATATTGGTTGAGGGATGTGATAGATAGATAAAATGTTGCACATAAAAGAGGCTTGACGTAAGTCGCAGTGCAAGTAGAAATTAACAATTGTTGGTCGAGAAAATATGAAAAACTTCTGATTAACTCGCACTGTGACCTGTGATGTAAAGTAATTATGGACCCAACAAGTTGGAGAGAATTAAATCTTCTACCGGCTTTGCTAACGAAGGCTCTCTGATTATTTAATTAAATTAAATGTAAAAATAAAATAAAAACAACAGCCCGCGAGACTTAGAGAAAGCAAAGGATATTATTTAAAAGAGTAGCAAGTTAAGGTGGTTAACTTTTCTTGCTGCAGTATGTTCCAGGCTGCTCGTTTGTGGTGCAAGTCACGTCATTCGGGATTGAAGGCGCGTTGTTTGGGAAAACAATCGGAGTAAAATGCTGAAACCTGGAGGTCTTTCGCGACCCGACTGTGACTTTCTCAACTCCGTTCATCTTTTTTTCATGGTGGGCAAATTCATTTAGCTTTCTCTCATTTTCCACTCCATTGAACTTTTCGGTGCTGTTCGTGTGGAGCGCACTTTGCAACGGTGGCAGTGCGGTTCCATTACTTTTTCTTTGAACAAAAAAGCGTGAGTTTGTGTCTTCATGCCACCGAGACACGAATAAAGATACTGTTTACATAAAAAAGCTATCAAATAAATATTCTTCGGTCAAACAGACACAGCTTTCGGAAAGTGTCGTGTTAAAATAAATCTTTTCAAGCAGTTTCCGTAACCGTTTAAGCGTTTCTATTATTTATTTTTTCTCTTTCTCTGCTCCCCTCGCTTCGTTCCTTCCCTCTCTTTTTTATATAAACACCCGGCACCTTGTTAAAGGGTAAAATTAACTAAGTTTCAGAGACTAAAGCTGATAATAAAGAGAGTCGCATGAAATTCATTTACTCTATCAATCATTCGTATTTTAACGCTCGGAGAATTATTAAACTTGAATACGAAACTTCGCAACAAGAGTTGAGAAAAGGACTGAGATAATAAAAAAATTATGTAAAGTTCGAAACTCAGAAAATGAGATAGACGCTCGGATTTTTTCATCAAATTTTCTTTAATTTAACCTTTTTTCTTTCTTTTTTTTAACCAGTTTACATGTTGTATGCGGAGTTTCAATTCCAACTGGCGAAGAAAAAGGTCCTTGCGTACAAATCATAAATTATCAAAATCCTTTAGCACCTTGAAACTATAGATATACATCGAGAAAAAAAGTTGCTGAAATGAACACAGTTGCTGTCAAAGTTGTTATTAACTTTCTGGCTGTTAAAGTCAGTAAAAACAACATTCGAGAGTTGTCGCACATATTTTGAACATAACATCCGGGATGTAAGTTAAGCAATTTTTTTTCTCAGTGTATCGAATGGTTAAAATGTAGAAGGTAGGGGGAATACAGTAATAACAAAGCAAATGATGAAAAGAAAAGGAAATTATAACTAAGTGAGATTGGCCTGCTTAAGAAAGGAAAATATTTGGTCATGCACTAATAAAATTATGTTGAGATTCAGACTGCTTACTTTCGATGAAGGAGTATTCGGCTAAGTAGCCCCTAGAATTGCGGGACGAGTAAACTCCTTTGAACTCGAGCATGAGTCCTGGCCCGTTACTCATGATCGGCCTGGGCAATGTCTGGCCACAATGGTTGTCCACCCTCTCCAGTCGACCGTCAATTTGAACATAAACTAATAAGGCATCGATGCACCTACAATCCGACAGTGAACATAAGAAAAAAGATTACAATCAAGCAACTATGAAAGTTTCACGGATTCTTGGTAGAATGCAATGCTTCTCGTAGTCATTCGTCGCTCCAGGTAACGTGGCTGGTGTCAGGCACCAAATTCAAAAGTAATATTTAATTGATGAATCAATAAGCAAAAGATAGCATGAAAGTACAATCTTGCGGATTAAAAAGGCAAAATTACGTGAGAAATAGAAATAGGCATGAATTTTTGCGAAAAAAGTTAATTCTACGTCAAGTTGAATTATGCTAGTTCAAGTCCTAAACTTTTGAGGAATATATATTTTTACGTGAAAATTGGATTTCCCCCTATTTCCTTTATTCCTATTTAATTACTATGATACATAGTCAGATACATAGTAAGGGTTTTCGCCGAAAAAGTTTACCCTCGAATGAAAATGAGAATGTGCTTAGCGGAACTTTTAAAATCTATGTGCATTGTTAATTTATTTTATTGATGTATATCTAGAGAAAAATGATCTTACTTACTCTTTGGCATCATCATTTGGATTAAACAAATCAAAGTCTCTAAAAATTATTTGAACCCTTTCTTTGCCTCGTCCCTGGAAGTCGAGTCGGCAATAGGAATGAGCGGGATAGGGCTCAGGATATCCGGGCGATGATATTGTTCCATTTTTAGAATTATCACTATAAATAACCATATCACAGTTTGTAACTGAAACAACAAGAAATTCACGCATTAACCAATCGTTGTAAATGTTAATTGGCCTGTTGCACGCAAGAGATATAAGGACTGGATTTTGCACTGGGGAATTGCAATTTCTGGCTCATACGTAAAAGCACCTATCTGCATAGGGAAACTAATGGCACATATGTTGTTTCTATAATAAGCCAAATAATGCAGTTTTTATTTGCAATATGCAGTCCACGTACAAGCAAGGATACTTTTCACGAGTGACATCGCACAAAAATCGAAATGGACGCATGAAAAAAGTCTGACGTTCACTCTTAAAAATTACCCGCAGACGCGGTACTTTTGAAAAAGGCGTGTCACAAACTATGCAGATTACACGCTAAGGAGTAGTTTTAAGACTTTTTTGATGTGCCCAAAGTGATTTTCGTATAATTTTACTCGAAGGAAACAGTTCGGTTAGCTGCACCTCGTGCGTGCAAGAGACCTAGACCCATTATAATGCACGGAAAATGATGTTTTGTTGACTTTTTCTTTTTTATCAGGGTTCATAATAATTTTTTAAAAGGTTACCTTCTTGTTATCCTTGATGGGATAACAACTGCCGAAATGGTCATCGTCCAATAAAAGTAGAACACCTGGGAGATCAGGAATAACAAGGAGGTAACATTTTTCTAAAAATTGTCAAGAAAAAGGATGTATTTACAACAGTGAATTCAGACCGTAATTCTCTTTTAGAGGTAAGATAAAATAAGAAGAAAAAATAAACTATCTTTCATTTGTCTATATTTTAACAGTAAAACTTGCTTGATTTGCCGCCTGTTTACTTTTTTTTCTTCTCAAAGTTGATTTTCCCGGGACTATCTTGATTCTTCAATATTGGTATGTAGACTTGCACCGAACTCCACAGAGCACGTAGGTTACCTTTATCAGTTGTATACCATTTTCATGGTGATAATGCAGAATCAAGAGCAAACCCAGTCAGTTTGTAGCTACAAAATTCAGCAGATATTCCAACAGAGGTAGGTATTTGTAGACTCAGTTCAAGATGCACCAGCCTAATACGAGAAAATAATAAAACCATCAAAGGGTGCACAGGTTTTTAAGTTATGTGCTCAAGAAATTACTTTATTTGATTCCACACTTGACACAATGATGCAAGATCAGGACGACAGACCCCGCTTCGTTGCTACGACGGAGGAATATTCGGACGTATTTCTATCAAACGGAACTAATTGTAAGTGCATTATGACGTGAGCCCTGTTATGCACTTATTCTTATGGGTCTCTAGGCTCATGTCTGAATGCACATAGTTCCGTTTGATAGAAATACATCCATTCCTGTCCTAAGAATTTGCACTCGAAGTTGAAACATCGACTACGTGATCTCTAAATGCAGATATCGTCTGAATCGGGAAAGTTCAAAAGAAAACGGCTGCGGAATATTGATTTGCAATAAGTCGTCGCCCTCCTGATAAAAAGACGTAACTACATTGCGCGATGAACTTTGTCGTCCATAGAGCTTAATGCTTTCCCGGGCTCATCTCTAAAAGCAGTTACGCCCTTTTGTCAGTCAAGCGACGCAGTGTAAAGAGGTCGGAGGAATCTTGTTTGCTAACTTTCCCGATCCAACATTCATCCTTCGGGCGCGATCCGGTCGAACAAAAAAAAATCAAGAAGAGATATAGTTGCTTTGTCGAAAATTTATAATCAATAGCTATTTTGATACTTTAAGTTGCAGTTTGCGAAAAAAGGAAAATGGGCTGAGTTCAGTGGCAATTTTGCAATGGACCGCTAGACAAGATACAAATGTAAGCACTCTGATACGTGTCATTTAAACAGAATTTCACGTAGAACACGATTCTTGCATCAAAAATTACTGAAATCAACTCCTAACTAAGATGTGAAGGACAAAGTTTAACAACCATCATCTGGTTCAAAATATTTATTCTTACATCTTTGAACTTTCGTCAGGAGAAAATTCACGACTAATTGATTCGAAAACGGCTGTAAATTAATTTATTTCGATAATTTGACACGGCCTAGATTCTAGAATAATTGCAAAATCTTCCTCTCTGAGTATTGAGGGCCCGACCCTGATGAAAACTCATGGTTCACTCTCACTTTTTCTCAAGAAATTTTCATCGGAGTTAGATTTAAGTATTCTTCTCACTCTTAGAGATTTTACTTGATCGCGGGATCCATAGAGGGGCGCAGGCAGGTATTCTGGCAGGCGCAGTATAGGCAATTTGCACGTCAAAACGCATGTGTATAAAGATGTATCGTTGGAAGTATCTGTGCGATGTGGAAGCTTTAATTGCCCGGAATAATTTGAATTCGTGACGCTCGCGAATTGAAATTATTAGAATTGCATCCTTCTTGCTGAAGAGTCTGTAAAAATTTGTATTTCGAAAAAAAAAAATAATGTATGAATTACTGCTCGCACACTGGTTTTTGTGTAAATAACTGCAGCTGCGCTGATGTTTTGTCATTATCATTTGGACGTATTTCTGCCAAACGGAACTATGTGCATTAACTCATAAGCCCTGAGATCCGTAAGAATATATGCATAACAGGGCTCACGTCATAACGCACATAGTTCCGTTTGGCAGAAATGCGTCCATTTAGAGGACTGTGCTTGTATTTGATCAATGTATTGATTTTCTCATTTTTAGGGTAATTTTGTGACGCCAGGTCAACATTGGTGGCCGAATTTTTTTTAACACGACGGTCTTAGGAGTGCACAAAGAAAAAATTCCCAGTTTTAAAGACCAATTTACGGACAAATTCCCTGGAAGTCCCGGAGATTTTCGTTCCTTGAAAAATCCTAGCATCTTCTCAGGAATCACTTCTCAGTTTTTCAAGCTGCTTAATACCAATAGTGAAACGTTCAAAACCGCAGGTGCGCTCGACAATTTGACAACGCGGTCAGTGGGAAAACCTATGCTCGATTGCTGGCCCGGTGGACTTGCAGCGCGGCGAGGCTGCCCCATTACCACCCGTACATACCGCGCTCAATCCTGGCTTTTTTCCAATTGCTCCCAAGTAAAACTTCTATCGGGAGACTCGGAAGTAAAATAGACCACCGCGCAGTTTAATTTATATTCTTCGCCCACTCCGTTGCTTCCTCCCGCTGTAGCTCTGTCGCTTCGTCTTACAACCCCCCACCCCCACCCCCTCTCGATACCCCCCGCCGGACAAGGCCAGGTTTCCCAATTTGAAACTATGGTGAAGAATCGACAATTACTCTATCCCATGATACTCGATCCTATTCCATAGGTTTGAATGGGGGATTAATCGATTACTCGATTCATCGCTGAGCAGGACACGCCTCCGCTCACCGTTACTTTCACCACCGCGACCACCCTTAACATATTATTATGACCGTTGCCAGACTTTCCATGAAAATGAACGCGATTTATACTGAGTGAGTGTGAAAATTATGATTATTCTAATCGTCTGACAATCCTGCTTTCTTCGCTCATGATTTCTTACTTTGTCCTTATGACCTCGTGTGAATGTATCGGAAGGGGTTTTTTGTGGGACGTTGGTAGTTTTTTATCCTCTTGTGTGTTAGTTTTCTCTCGCTTGGATTTCGATAACTTCGAATTCGACGTTATTTTAGGAGAGGTATGGAGGTAGTAGGGGTTTGTGAGAGACTTGGAGGGAGAAAAAGGCAAAAAATGTAATAACTCTGCCTTTGAAAATTATTCCACCTCACAATCGTTTCGCATTCGCAAGGCATCTCATCAAGTCGCTTTATTTGCTGAGTATGTGCACCCACATGTTTAATGAGATAAAGCGCATATACTACGTCACAATTTTCATTTTCGAACCTACTTTTCTCTAATTTTCCTCGCTACAATACGAAAGTGTAGAAAATAGTGTTCTCTCAGCTCATTAAGCCCTCTTTATGAAGCAATCAAACTTTCATGTGACATCTTTCGCGGTTGCTTCATTCCTGGCCTCTCGGGTCCATCGCTTCGCCGCGACTCAAACAACCCACAGCACTGCCATGCTAAGGAAGAACGCCGTATGAGCCTTTCGGCGTTGCCAAATTTCCTCTGGCAAATCACTCATTTTCAGGAAAGTTTTTGAATATTTTTCAGCCGATTTCTCAGGCAATTTTTCTTGTAATTTGATCTAAAGTGTCTGAAAGTTTCAAGGAAACACATTCATATTTTTCCTCAAAAATAAACATTTTATCCGAGAAAATTTGGCAACCGTCGAATATTCATACGGCGTTCTTCCTTAGCAAGGCAAAGCACCCGACTAAAATATCAAGATTGCCACAGTTCCCCTCGCTAATTGCATTTTTACTGAGAGAGTCTTACTTGCTCCTGTCTGAAAAATTCACTGATTTTTTTTCTAATTTTATGCAAAAATCAGGACAATTTTGGACAAAAATTGCATGGGTACAGCCCTGTGAAAAATTGAATTGCTCGCGTCAATTTTGCAACCTTGTAATAGAGTTACGTTCCTTCGTTCGAGAAAGGACGAATTGTTCCATCTGCTTGAATAAATTAGCTCCTTTCAATTTAGCCACAGCTTGAGATTCTTCCTCGTTTGCCGCGCCCGGGTGAAGGAAAACAGGGTGTGCCAGATTGTGCGATAAACTGCGGTCATTACAAATGGGTTAAGTGGGAGAAAGTGCTAATTTATCGGCAATTTTCGGCAACAAGGGTGGAAACGAGGAGCGAGAAAGCCAAAGCGCTTGAACTCCCTAAACGGCTCCTAGCCTTTTTCACCGCTTCGTGAGATTCATACAATATCCCTGTCCCTACAATAGCGGGCGGAATTGCGCAGAAAGTGTTCGATTCATTAGAAGGATCCCAACTTCCGCCGATAGGTTAGTCGGGCGAGGCGTCTTTTCCAGCGAGTGTTTCGGTTCCTTCGTTGCGCGAAAACCTCCGGATGTTTTTCGCGCCGCGGCTGCCATATCTTAAACGAAACCCTCTCACTGAAAGAAAAATCTCGGTGTATTTACTAGGAAAAGGGTAAAATTACCAAGAATTCAGGGTTCTA